TCTGAATCTTGGAAAAGGTCCAATAGACTCAGTTTGATGTTCATGAAGATGACCATTGCAAATAACATCAAGACCTCATTATCTCAAACTATTAATGCATTGGAATACTTAAAGGCTGTTGAAGATCGATTTAGATCTGCTGACAAGTCACTTGTTGGCACTATTATGGCTGAATTAACAACAATGAAATATGATGGCAATCGAGGAGTTTAGGATCATATCCTCAATATGGTTGACAAAGCTGCACAGCTTAAAACGTTAGGGATGCATGATGAAACTTTCCTCGTGCAGTTTATTCTCAACTCACTTCCATCAAAGTTTGAGGCATTCAAAATTCACTATAACACTAATAAAGATAAGTGGAATTTGAATGAGCTGACTAATATGTGTATTCAAGAGGAAGTGAGGTTGAGGGAGGAAGGACGTCAAACTACATTGGCTGTAACTCATGGAGCTCTAAAGAAAAAGAAGGGTAAGTTTGTAAAATCAAAGAAAAATCCACTCAAGAAAAAGAATGAACCTGGGAAAGAAAATTAGGCTCAGAATGGTTTCACTGTCAAGTGCTACTTTTGTGGCAAGAAGGGACATGTGAAGAAAGACTGCAACAAACGAAAGGCTTGGTTCGAAAAGAAAGGTAATAAATTTTCTTTTGTTTGTTATGAATCAAATCTTGCTGAAGTACCTTCTAATACTTGGTGGATTAACTCAGGGACCACGACCCACATTACAAATGATATGTAAGGATACCTCTCAACCAGGAAACCGAATGAAAGTGAAATATTTGTCTATATGGGGAACCGTCTCAAAGTTGAAGTCGTAATTGTAGGAATCTATCGACTGATCTTAGAGACGGGTCATCAAATGGATCTAGAAATCACTTTTTATGTTCCTTCAATTTCTAGGAATTTAGTTTCGTTATCCAAATTAGATTGTGTTAGATATTCAGTTTTATTTAGTTGTGGAAAACTCAATTTAATGTTTAATTCAATAAGGATTAGTTCTGGTAATTTATGTGATGATTTATATAAAATTACCATAAATCATGAGTTTGCACAATCATTAGTAACTTTGCATTTGAATATTGGTTTAAAACGTGGTCTAATTAATGAAAAATCCTTAATCTTGTGGCATAGACGGTTGGGGCATATATCTAGAAATAGAATTGAAAAATTGGTGAAGAATGGGATTTTGAAAAACCTAGACGTCACTGATTTTGAGATATGTGTGGATTGCATTAAAGGAAAGCAAACCAAACACACCAAGAAAGGTGCCACAAGAAGTAATGAGCTTCTTGAGATAATTCATACAGATATTTGCGGGCCACTCAACATCCCATGTCTTAGTGGTGAAAAATATTTTATCACATTTATAGATGACTTCTCACGTTATGGATATGTGTAACTAATTCATGAAAAGTCTCAGGCTGTTGACATCCTTGAGGTGTACATAATTGAAGTCGAGAGACAATTAGATAGAAAGGTTAAAATAGTAAGATCAAATAGGGGTGGTCAGTATTATGGTAAATATGATGAGTCAGGCCAAAATCCTGGCCTATATGCCAAATTCTTAGAAAAGAAAGGCATTCGTGCTTAATATATGCCACAATAAAATGGAGTTGCTGAAAGGTGTAATCGTACACGTAAAGATATGGTTAGGATTATGTTAAGTTACTCAATTGTACCCATTTCACTGTGGGGTGAAGTTTTAAAGACTACAATGTTATCTTAAATGGGGTTCCTAATAAGGCGGTCCCAATAACTCCTTTTGAGTTGTGGACTGGTAGGAAACCTAGTTTGAGACACTTACATATTTGGGGTTGTCCAGCAGAGGCAAAAATCTTCAACTCACAAGAGAAAAAGTAGGACTCAAGAACAATATCTGGATATTTCATTGGTTATCCAGACAAGTCTAAAGGGTACAAATTTTATTGTCCTAATCACAATACGAGGATAGTGGAGACTGGTAATGCTAGATTCCTAGAGAATGGTGAAATCAGTGGGAGTCAGAAAACACAAGTGGTGAATTTTACTTACATATTTGGGGTTGTCCAGCAGAGGCAAAAATCTTCAACTCACAAGAGAAAAAGTAGGACTCAAGAACAATATCTGGATATTTCATTGGTTATCCAGACAAGTCTAAAGGGTACAAATTTTATTGTCCTAATCACAATACGAGGATAGTGGAGATTGGTAATGCTAGATTCCTAGAGAATGGTGAAATCAGTGGGAGTCAAAAAACACAAGTGGTGAATTTTGAGGAAATTAGGGTGGATGTGCCAACATTTGACCTTTATCGAAAAATTATTGTTTCTCAGATTATTCCATAGGCTGAGGGAAACGAACAACATAATGAAAATCCATCACCACCTCATGTTTCACCACTTCATGAAGATACCACTATTGAAAATATTGTAGAACCACTACAACCGGCAGTTTTGAGAAGATCTCAAAGGGAAAGAAAGTATGTCATTCCAAATGTTACATGGTGTATCTACAGGAATCTGATTTTGATATTGGGATTAACAAAGATCCATTCTCATTTTCACTAGCCATGAATAGTGATGATTCTACTAAATGGGTCAATACTATAAATGAAGAGTTAAAATCCATGGAATAGAATAGTGTTTAGGATCTCATCGAATTGCCTAATAATTGTAAAAAAGGCCTGGTATAAATAGGTCTTCAAGACCAAGCACGACGCGAAAGACAATATCGAACAATTTTAAAGCCAGACTTGTTGTCAAGAGTTTTACTCAAAAAGAAGGCATAGACTAGATAGAGACCTTCTCTCCAGTATCTAAGAAGGACTCGCTTAGAATCATCCTAGCACTGATAGCTCATTATGACTTAAAGTTGTATCAAATGGATGTGAAAACTGTTTTTCTAAATGGGAATTTGGATGAAGAAATTTATATGGGACAGCCAGAAGGATTTGCAAAGAAAGGTAAAGAATATTTAGCTTGCAAATTAAAGAAATCCATATATGGCCTTAAACAAGCTTCTAGGCAATGGTATTTAAGGTTTAATGATACCATTACCTCCTTCAGATTTAAGGAAAATGTGGTTGATCAGTGTCTATATCTGAAGGTTAGTGTGAGTAAGTTCATTATTTTGGTGCAATATGTGGATGACATTTTGTTAGCTAAACCAAGGAATATCTTTCCAAGAACTTTAAAATGGTCAATATGGGTGAGGCAAACTATGTTATTGGCATAGAGATCTTTAGGGATCGATCTTGAAGATTACTAGGATTATCTCAGAAAGGATAAATTGATCGTGTTTTGGAGATATTCAATATGCAGTTTTGTTCAGCCGGTGATGCACCCATCATGAAGGGTGATAAATTAAGTGAAAAACAGTATCCAAGGAATGACTTGGAAAGAAAAAAAATGAAGGACATTCCATATGCATCAGTTGTAGGGAGCTTGATGTATACCCATACATGTACCAGGCCAGATATTAGTTTTACAGTTGGAATGTTGGGAAGATTCCAAAGTAATCATGGAATGGAACATTGGAAAGCAGTAAAGAAGGTTATGAGACATCTTTAGGGAACAAAGGACTATATGCACATCTATAGGAAATCAGAATAGTTGGAAGTGACCGGATGCTCAAACTCAGATTTTGCTGGTTGTCTTGATAGTAGAAAATCTACATTAGGTTTTGTTTTTCTAATAGTTAGTAGAGCAATTTCATGGAAGAGTGTGAAGCAGTCCACTATTGCTTCATCTACTATGGAGGCTGACTTTGTGGCATGCTTTGAGGCTACAAATCATGCTTTATGGTTGTAAAATTTCATCTCAGGACTTGGTGTTGTTAACTCAATTGCCAGGCTGCTAAAGATATATTGTGACAATACCGCAATAGTTTTCTTCTCTAAGAATGGAAAGTACTCCAGTGGTTCCAAACACATGGAAGTAAAGTACTTAGCTGTTAGAGAAAGAGTCCAGAAACAACAAGTGTTAATTGAAAACTTAAGCACCTCTCTTATGATTGCTGATCCATTCACAAGGGGATTGCCACCGAAGACATACAAAGAGTATGTTATCAGGATTGGTCTTTTAAGCAACCCATGATGTGTATGGATAATCTTGAGTGCTTATTTTTATTTGACACTATTTGCGCGATAATAATTTTGTTTCTATTTTTCCTATTTCTAAAAGTGTGTGTACACATTAATTTGAATATTGATAAACAGGAAATGTCTTAACAAGACAATTCACAGGGACTTTTTCGGCAAATAATTACATATCCCGATAATGGACTGGGTTGGTGAAAGTTATCAATGGTGTGGTGCATAGAAGGAAATATGACATAAATGTTATATAACCGTTATGACTCACATTGGTGATCTGAAATAATCACAGTATTATAGTTTCTAACATATCTGAACTTATTGGCTATTTTTAAAAAAATCCGTGATCATGTGTCAAAGTTTTTAGTGTGGAATCCAATGAGTCAAATTTTTATAAATTGCATATTTTGGAAAAACTCATAATTGCATCATAATCGGCTTAATGGGCCAAGTGGGAGAATGTTGGATTTATTTCCTAGTACAGCTCAATAGCCTACATATTTTTTATATGCTTTATTTTATTTGGACTCTACAATTAGATAAAGCCAATATTTGAGATAAAGTTCAATAATTAGAATTTTAATATAATTGTTCTTCTAAGATAAGAAAGAAACCTTGATGGACATGAATTCTTCTAAGAGAGTTTATCTAGCCCTCTTCTCTCCTCTATATAAGGATGGGTGACTCCCTTTTTATATCATAAGTATTTTTCCATCACTCTAAGTTCTATAGTCATCCTAATTAAGAGAGACAGAGAGAAGAATGTTGAGCCAAGAAGAATTCAAGGTTCAACAATTAGGGATATTTTCTCAACTTCTCTAATTCAATGACTGACAAATGTATGTTCATTTTATTCTTGAATTGTATATGTTTATTTTATTCTTGAATTGTATTAAACTCAAAATTTTGTAAGTTCAATTCTGCATTATTATTATAGTTATATGTATATTAATTACTTACAAAAACAACCCAAATAGCAAAAATAGTACCCACCCGATTCAAAATCCCTTTTCGTTAGACCCACTCTACCACTCTTATTTTTTAGCTATGGTAACAAAATATGAGTAAAATCACAACACGGTATTTCTACATATATAAAATGAGGTAAGAAATGGGATTATATATAGCATTTTCTAATCACAAAAAGTGTCGTTTTTTATGCGTCTCTATCTCTGCATCCTGCATAAGGCCTCTGTCGGCCAAGGCCACAAAATTTTCCTCCAGCAGCCAATAACAAGAAGGGGATTGCTAACCAGAGCATAGCCCATGCCTCATTTGGAGATACTGCCATTATTGAGCACATATAAGCACCAAACATGGCTAATACCGAGATTTGTGGCCACGGTTTCAATGGGAATTCATGTAGGAGGAAAATAACCAATGCCCCGGATGAGGTGAACCCTGTAGAGTTGAACAATATGAATAACCGAGTTAGAATTGATTCATGTTTCTTCAGTTGCAGGGTACCATTTGGGTTGTAAAACCCACCAAGGAATGTTATTGTTGTCAAAAGTGTGGCTGTGACTAAAAGTACTGCGTTGTATGTTTCTCTTCTGAATTTGAGAATTGACATGATGGTGCTCATATGTGGTGGTGGTTGGGAATAGTTATCGTCCCCACAGTTGAAGCTTTGATCGGCTATGTCACGGGCCCCCATGGCGCCTGCTTGTCGAAGAATTTTGCTGATTTCCATGTCGATCTTCCTGGAATATGGGAGGACATCTAGGATGTCGAGAGGGGTGAAACCGCCGGAGTTCTTTGCGTTGACTTCCACCATTTTGTTAAGGCTTTGATTATCAAGCAGTATTTTTAATGTCTTCATCAAGAATCAAGTTAGTTGAGTACAATTATGGTTGTTAAAAACTAAATAGAGGACAATCCTTGAAAAATAACAGGCATCAAAGGATGAAATTAGAATGGAGACAAACATACATATAGTAGTTTTACCAGATATCTATATACAATTATGGTTAATCCAAATTTCACGTTAGTTCCTATTCTTTCAATTTGAATAATTTGGTCCATATACCTTAAGTTCAGTTTTAATCTAGTCATTTTGTTCAAATTAAACGTTAAAATTAATAATTTTGTGACAAGTGTCAATCTCCTTAAGTGCACATAGAAATAAGTGACGATAATTTGAAAGCAAGAACCAAATTGACACTAAAATTAACACTAAAATTAAAGTGTAGGAATCATATAGTTCAAATTGAAACAATAAGGGCAACGTAAAATTTGAGTCAAACCAAAGCTAGACACCATGAATGAATAAAAATAAAGAATAATGTTAGAAAAACTAACTAGTGTCGCCAGCTAGACTTGATTTTAACTGAGAGTTTCATATCAAGTATGCATATCTTGTGTATTGGTGAATATGTTTGTTGGTAGTGTTACTAGGATTACTCGGAAACAAAACTTGAAACTTTTGATTATGCCATGAAACTGGGTCTGTTTCCTTTTAAATTCATTATTTTACTTTTTCTTTTTGTTTTTCTTTCTTTTTTTTTTTTTTTTTTGGTTTGGAGGGTGATGGTGGTGGTGGTTGTTAGAGTTCATACCTTCAAAATTAATCATTAGAAGTGTAATCGGTTCAATTGGAAAGGAAAATATAGCATGAAATCGAACTTTCTAGTTTTTTTAGTTGAAAAATCGAAATCAATCACATGGTACAGTTTGGTTTTGTAAATCTTTCAAGAGTGTAATATGGAAATTTTACACGAACTTTTGAGAGTTTTATAGATACAGTAATAAATATAGAGAGAAGATACTCCCTATTTTTATTATAAAATGTGTAGCATTAGTCATTTCTATTCTACTACTAAAAAAATTTAATTATTATTAAAAAAAATATAATATAATATTTCAGTTGGTTCGGTTTCACCTATTTCTGGAACATACAACATGAGCAACCAAATAGAGAAAAACAGAGTTACCTGGAGTTGTTTTCTCGATGTTGCAAGGTGTAAGACCGTGTTTCCACCTCTACCCTTTCTGTTAATCAAATCGCCATTGTCGATTCTCTCCTCGAGCCATTTCACCAAGTACTGGAACACCTTCACCTTATTATACACGACAGCAAGATGAAGACAAGTCTCTCCCATTGCAGTCGCTTCTTTCACCGACTCAGGGCAAGCATCAACTAGCAGCTTGACAATCTCAACCTTGCCTTTCATTGCTGCAATGTGAAGTGGAATTAGCCCATTATTGTCCTTCACAGTGCAAAGATTGCTATTTTTGTTTATCACATTGTTGGCAATCTCCAAATGACCCTCTTGGCATGCCAAGTGCAAACGATTGTCTGATGCTTCGAGAAAACAATTCTATTATTAAACTTATGTTGTTTCCTTTGTTGTTTCCATGTATTAAGCATTGTACTTTTAATTCAAAAAATAAATAAAAAAGTACAATTTCAGCACTACCTGTGGTATCAATAGTCTTTTGGTTGGTGGTAAATGTATCAGTTGACCTGCTTTAACAAAGACTTTTGAAATGTCATTTATTTCCCTACTTTTTCTCACTTGTAAGCCAAATTAAACATTTGCATGGGTGATTTTGGATATGTAACAAAAAAATAATCAACCTAAATGATATTTCCTTAACTAGCCCTTCAGCTCAATATATCTATACCATTATTATATGTGAATATTTGACTTGATATAGTGTCAAGGTAATTTTTTTTTCCTCCAAAAATTCTATCCATGAGATAATTTTTGTTCGTTTTTCTTCACCGTAAAATGGGGTAAATATGTAATAGCAAATAAAAAAAAACACCTCCGTCAAATCTCTTTTAGTAGCATACACATTCTGCGGGCTCAGATGCCAGTATATATGTACACCAAGGTTTGTAAAAAATAAATAAAATACAAAAAAATAAAAGTTTCTAGGAAGTTTCTTAGCTCATACAAACCAGGTTTAAGTGAAATTGTACAAAGGAAAATAATACATTTAAGTTTGTCTTTCACAATTGACTTTAAGCTTCTCTTTCACATTGGCTTTTAACGCAATTTCGCTGAGATTTCTTTGTAATTAGATCGATATAGCTTTGTGGAAATTGGCCATGTCTTTTGTCATTGGGTAATGCTGAGAATTTTTAACTTAAAATGAAATTTACATGACAAAAGTCTAGAACACAAAAATTGTTAATAAAACCAACAACAGTATTACGAAGTCAGAGAATATATCTAAAAAATTACTTAGAAAAGTGCACCTCAGGACCACAATAATTCTCTAAATGTGTCACACATTCCACCAACTTTAAATCTACACCTTTCACCTTGGGTTGGCCATGAGATAAGATAAGCAAGGCAACAGCCTTAGGCCTCGAATTCTGTCTAAGAAATAGGGCCCCCAAATATTTGTAACTCTTATGCTATATTTGGTTCATTGAAATTAAATGAAATCAAATAATCATTTGATCGTAAAGTCCATTCTCACGTTTGATTCACTAAATTTTATTACAAATAAAATCATTCACCGGAGAATAGTGATCCTATAGAGAGGCTAACGGATGACTATTTCATTCCATTCGGTTTCAATCTAGTAAACAAAACACTATGTTGCAGTATTGGTAGTTTAAAATGAAGTTTTATCTAAAAAATTTAAAAATAATTGAAGTGGTGAATAATTTAAAAGTAATGAATGGTTATTTGCCAAATTTATGGATTGATTATAGAATATTATAAATTATACTAGTTATTCTTGCCACTGGAGAAATAGATTTTTTAAATCAGAAGTTTATCAAATTTTGGTGTCACTTTTGTGCACAATGCACAACGGAAGTGATTGTGCTGTTCATGGACCTGTTTTTGATAATTTAAATAGTTCATTTTATAGAAAATATCATGTAAAATATACTTATAAAAAATTAAATTGATCAGATATCGATTACTCTTTTATCAAATCAAATTTGTATATAAAGAAAATGAATATGTATTTATCAAATTAAATACAAATGTATTTCGATGAAGGGGTTATTGATACCCAATCAACTTGATTTTTTACAAGTTTATTCTTCTCGATGTTTTTTAAAAATTGAACAGTTCGGATTATTAGAATTGGATCCGACGATGTGCATTGTGCACACAATGACACCAAATCCCAATTAGCTAGGTCAAATTTTTTTTTGAATAAATTAATAATATCAAAAATGTCTAAAATTTATTTCAGTAATTATGATATCTATCTTACTAAGAGTTTTTTTTTGTTTTTTTTAATATTCCAAAAAATTAAACTATTTATGTAAATAACCAACTTTTTAAACTATTTATCAAACTAACCACTTTTTAAAATCGTAAGTTCAAAATACGATTTCGTGGTGAAATCGCATCTTGAACATGTAATTTCATATTGATATGATCACTATCTATACGTAGATAAGTCAAGTCAATATGAAATCGCATTTGAATTTCATCAGGAAATCGCATTTTGAACATGTGAACTCGTATTTTAAACTTGCATTTTTTAGAAAATGGGTTAGTTTGATAAATAGTTTAAAAAGTGAGTTACTTTGATAAATAATTTGATTTTTTAGAATATTTCTTAAAAAAAAAACTTATCTTACTAACTATAATTTATATCAACTTTAAAAATCATATGAAATTGCCCAAAAAAATACAATATTATAATTATTATAAAAATAAATAAATTATAATCGATTCACTCACTAATACAATATTCTTCAAATTAGATTTATCACCTAATATTTATGAGTGTAAAATACTAGTAAATTTAGTTTAAATAAAGATACTATTTTATCAATAAATATATATTTTTAAATATGTATGAAGGTCTCAATTTTTGAGTATACATTTAAGTCCCAAAATGTCAAGGCTAATGCGTTCACCTAATTTTCATAATAAAATTTGGAACATAATTTCATAGTGCAGTATTTTTGTAAAACCAATGTAAATGGATTACAAAATGCTAAGGAGCATGACTTAATCAACCACGTACTCTTACCGCCTAAGGTGGAAAAAAAAATTGAGTGAAACGATTATACCATGTCACTTTGATGACATGATATGGCAGATCCATCATCGGCCATGTTTGATTGGGAGTTTGGGAGGATGGATTGGATTAGCAATCCGTGGGACCCATCAAACCCTTATTTGGATACAACATAATGTGATAGAATTAGTAGCGAAGGGGGTTTAGTAATCCCCCTCTGTAGGAGAATTAACTTGGGTGAATTTTAAGTGGAATTAGGAGAATAATGAGGAGATTGAATCTATTTTATATAAAAAATTTATTATTTTAATTTTTTTTTTTACTAAGTTCTCCTCTTTGTTTTAATATTTGTTTTAATTTTTTTTAATATAGAAATAATTTATTTATTTATTTTATGTGAAAATAATTTAACAATTTCATCACTAATCATCTCCTACACTATCATCAAAATAAATACACTTTTACTTAATTCTCTCACTAACAATCCATACATTAACAATCTCTTCACTAACAATCCTCTTACTAATAATTTCATTCAATTTAATCCGTCAAACAAACGTGTCCATAATCTATTATGTAAGTGCATTCCACCCACTATCCATATGTGTCAGTTAGTAGGATAGGTTGGATAAAATGATTATATTTAGATATTGGAGTCGACTTTCCTATGTAGTGTTTTATTAGATATTATTGTTGCATTAAAGTTTTACTCACTAAGATGGTATGGCGTGGCTATTACTCACCCCTACCTCAATTTGCAATAGAAACAAATCAGGAAATTTGATGAATGTCTGCAGTGTAAAAAATGTGAGAGTAATTGTATTTCTCTCAAATCTCGAGAAAGATAAGTGTAATTTACCTAATAAAAACATTGCGGATTAAGTAGAGTTTAACCAGCGAGGCTCATTTTAAGTCTGATTATACTAACTACATAACCAACTTAAAGCTAGCCAAAAATCAGCATTTGACCTCCCATATTGCTTTTTGGTTGTTTTATACAACAGACACACCGCGAAGAAAAAGAAACAAACAAATCCTTATTCTTTTCATTATTTTTCTTGTAATTCAGAAAAGTGTTCATAATTTAAATTTATTATGTAGATTTAAGTTTCATGTGATACGAAGTCACACTTTAAATGAATTTGATTCACACATTTTAAATTCTCGACATATTATAGTATTTCTGATACACAAATATGTTAGACAATTTTCACTGTATTTAAAAAGATTAAATTCTGTTGTGTACAAAACAACAATAAGAATAAAAGAAATAGAGAAAATGAGAGAATTTGTTTGATTACAAAAATCAAACTAGAAATAAAAATAAATAAATAAAACCACAGATTTTATTTTGTTACAAAAATAAAAATAAAATCTGATTAAATAAACACAATAAAAAACAGAATAAAATTAAACAACTTACTTGGTTAATTTATTTGAAAAACTTTTTTGATCAAGTCCAGTGTTTAACACTGTGTCCTTAAGACAGATTCGTCCTCTCCACGGTGCTTTCAGAATTTGGATGCCTATCTCCCAGGATGAAATGATTTTACCACAAACAATAGCAGCACTACAAATTGTTTGCCTTACGAACACACTAAGTGTTTACATTCTTTCTTTCGGAAATAAAATGCAGCAAGAAAATCCAAATGGGAGGCTAGTCTATTTATAGATGTAAAGGTGGCTTTTGGTTTTGAATTGAACAGGTATGAAACCTGTTAGATTCAAGTTTAAACAGATTTGAATCTGTTTATTCAAACAGATAGAAACGGAAAGGGCTCTGTTTGGATGAGCAATAAATCCAAAACAGTTTAATTCTGTTTGAAAACGGGAAGGGATAAAATTAAATTCAAATGTTTTTGGCCCAAAAAGATTAGAAGCCCAACCCAACCACACACCACGCCCCCGCGCCCAAGCCCAGGCCCAGGCCAGCCCGCCCGACAGGACGGACGGCGGCGGCGCCGCGCGTGTGGTTTTGGGTCCAATGGGTCTAGCCCATTTTGCCCATAACCTCTCCCTCTAAAACATTTGGGTACCTCTTGGGACACACCTCAAGTATCTCACCCTAAGCCTTATAAACCCTTTCAAAACTTCCCACCAAATCAATGTGGGACAAGCCAATTTACCACCTTAAGGAATTTCCACCAAAACTCCATTTCCATGGAGCACACTTTGGCTTCAATTTCCCATTCACTCGGTAATGGTTTTAAGCAACCAAATATACCACGTGAATCACAACGCGGCATAGAACGCGTTACCACTTTGACCCGAGTAAATCGACACTCGGGGCCCACCTAAAAAATAGACCGAACTTAAGAAAAAATTCTGATTTTTACCCAGAATTTATAACCATTTCCAACAAAATAATCTAAATAGGTAATTAAGGATACAATATTCTGAAATTCAGAAATAATATTAGGTTTTAATATTCTTCTTGGACTTTACATATTTTATATGTTTTATTGCCTATCTTACAGTCGATGCCGCTAAATTTGCAGGTAAATAAGCGTTTCTGCACATATCCCCCTGCCATAGTGCATCTCTTCACTTCTTCTTCAAGCACTCTCTTCAATATATCACTGATATCACCCAATGCCCAAGCTATAGATATATGAGGGCGTGGATCCTGTGATCAACATCCAATACAGAGCAAAATACCATCAATATAACACGAAAAAACAGTTTAATGATTCAATTATTTGAATAACATAAATGGACTTGAAGAAACCATGAGTAACAATAACTACAAGCCTAACCTCATAAAATTCAGGTAGATTGTGAAGCTTATAGACTTCATTAACAGCTTGTATCTGCTTTGTTATCTGAAAATCAATCAAAATTCAAATAAATTTCACAGTTCTGAAAAAATAATAATGAAATTTCTAGAATGGCTTAGGCTATCTCCAACGGTGCATCAAACCCAGCATCAAATTTGAAATTTGATGAACAAGCCACTGTTTGTGTCTCCAATGGTTTCATCAAATTGATATCAAAATGAGAACAAAATAAAACTTTCATCAAACTGAGAACAAGCTCACGATTTCAGTATTTCACTGTGCTATAACATTGGGGTGGGCCAACTGGTCAAACCAACCGGATGTCTGGCCGGTTGACCCACCGGTCGACCGGTTCCCTTTCAAATAGGTAGGTTCAAACAGGGTCAAAAAGGTTCAAACAGGTTTAAAAAAAAAAATTTAGCCTTACCGGTCGACCCACCGAATGACCCTTCCCTTTTGATGCACCGTTGGAGCAAGCCATATCAAATTGAGAAAATCAACTATTTTTTACTCAGATTTGGTGAAAAAAGTAATGAACCATTGGAGATGCTCTTATTCAGCACTTCAAATAATTAACAATTTTTCTCCTTTTTTATGACAACAATGTCAATGGATTGTTTTCATAGCAACAATACATATCCTATAGCTATTATTACATACACAAGCCAATACTAAACAAAACTGTCCTCGGAAATACAATTATACATCTACCTGCTAGGCTGCTAGTTAAAAATAACACAAAACAGAGTTAAAAACAGTGAACCCAAAATTCATTCTACTTTATGGAGGAAAAACTGCTCAAAACATGAACAAAGTGGTTCAAAAGAACACCTTTGAACTTACCTCAGCTAACCCTCCTGTTATAACTTCAATTGAGATAAATGAACGCGTGTGATCATCATTAACAAAAACGACCAACTTACTAAAATCAATCCAATACCTGTTTCACATAACAACAATGGGTGAGAACCATATCATGGAACAGATGTGTCATCACATTGAACTAGAATTTCATAAGCTAGGCATATATTTGACCTTTGACACTGAAGCTTCTGACGAAGCATTGACACCACTGAGTCAATTTGGTGCACTCGAATTGGAACAGTTCTTCCCAAACTTATATGGAATTCTCTCCCCAAGGCAACCTGTTCGAGCTTGAGATCATCACTGCAAAGCATATTGAGTGGGACGTCGACGTCAATGGCATTCAAACCAGGTACAAGAGATGAGACCTTCTTTAGAAACAGGGTCAGCTCCTTCATTGGTGTAGAAGGTATATGGACTACAGTAAGCATATAACTTAATCAAAGCACTGTTCTAATTCTGGAACTTGAAAACAATGTGATAAAACTTCAGACACCACAAGCATAGAGTCAATTGGTGGGAATTGCTAAAAGAAAACTTATGAATTGAATTGGAATTCACTCAACATCATGTTAGCACACCAAATTTTTACAAAAAAGCCTAAGCTATTAGAAAATCGGTCCTACAATGTTTATCAAATTAATACTCCCCTCACATGTGACCCATCTTACATGTGAAGAGACAAACAGCTAGTAAATAAGGTGCACAGTTTACATGCAGAACAGTGTGCACTATGACAAAAATAATGGGGCAACAAGGCTTAAACCCAGAACAGCTTTACCCAGAATTCTGATACCATCTTAGATTACTAATTTTCTCAAAACTTAAGCTATTAGGAAATGAGCCCAACAATGTCAAGCTACCTTATCACACTAGCATAACACCAGTAATTCCACGACCCAGTTGATATTTAATGACAAAGAAGCAACACACCAACTACGCTAGCTCAGTTGGATACTCTTGTATATTCCAACTGGGAGATTAGAGGGTCAATCTTTGCCAAAAGCAAAGATTGATTATTTCTCTCCTAATATAGGGCTTTGTTGGATTGAGTTTGTTTCTCCCCATTGTGGGTTCTTTCCTCTTTCTTGGTGATTGGTATTGATTGTTGGGTTAATAGATTTGTGTTGGTGAACTATGATTGTCCAGTTTGATATAATTCTTTTCATATATGCAATAATCTCCTACCGATTGAACAAGAATAAAACATAGGAGCAGCACTGAGACACAGGAAATCAATCACACAGTTGCACTAAATTTTTTGTTCGAGTAATCCTAAATGAAGTCTTAAGAAACACATGGAATAGCAAAAATGTGTGCAATTTCCCACATTACTTCATAAACAACAAGCAGTCCAAATAGTTATTCCAAAGAAAAAAAAGAAAAAAAAAAGGTCGGTTTTATTTTGACTAAAAGATATACAAATACAGCTTTTTAGAAGCCAAAGATTCAATGGAACAAACAAAAAGAAAAAAAAGAGGGTTTTTCAGTTGTATATCTGCCACTAAAAATCTAAGGAAACAAATTGATGACATAAAAAGGTAACAACACAACATTTTCAACAATATTTACCTGGAATGTAGACATGTAATGCATAGTTTCCTTCAACGTGAGGGAAGCTCCGAATCCGATTCGACTGACCACTTTGCAATTGGGCTAAAGTACCTTCATAATCAAAAGATCAAACACTTGGTGGGCATAAACATGTGAATGATACTATATATATATACATACAAGGATATGAAATTGTTGGTGAATGAATTGAAGAGTATAGAAGAATTGATACCGAGAGAATTGGGAGGAGTGAGGAGGTCAAGAGGAGGTGGAGGCAAAGGGTTTAATGCCTTGGGATTGGAATTGGAATTGGAGGCCGATGGTGGGAGATAATCTGAGCCTGAATCGGAGTCGGAGGAGGTGTCTCCGTACGAGGCTATCAGAGCATCCATTTTCTCTCTCTCTAAACTCTCTCTCTCTCTCTCTCTCTTCTTGCCCGACGCCCGTTACCCTACCGGAACGGCGTAAGTGCTGCGAATCCAACACAAGTGTTTTTTTTTTTTTTTTGGCGTTTGTTTTGATATAAAATATTTTTTAAAAAAACTAATTTTATATATAAAAAATATTTTTATTTTTTGATGTTTGGTTAATATTTAAAATAAAAATATTTATTACTTAAAAGAAAATTTTTGGTTTAATAAAATATTATTTATGACTTTTTAATGAGTTAAGATATTTATTTAAAAATGTTAAATGTGTTGAAAAGATAATGAGTAATAGTTAACTCTATAAAAATTAACTCAAGAAAATTTTAAAGGTAAGTTATTTTTAAGAAAATAATGCAAAAATATTTTACTTGTTTTTTGTTCAAACAAATAACAAAAAATGAATAAAATATTTTTAACAAAAATATTTTATGTCAAAATAAACGGAGCCTTACCTTTTACTAATATTTGACAAAAATATAGTTAATTCATAAGTTTCACATAATTATATTAATTTTTTTTAATAAGATTAAAGTCATCAAAATTAATGCAAATAGTAGATATACACATATATAGTTAATTCATAAGTTTCACATAATTATATTAATTTTTTTTAATAAGATTAAAGTCATCAAAATTAATGCAAATAGTAGATATACACATAAATAAACAAAGGTAAAATATACATTTTTATAAAAAAGATATGACAATATTATTTTTTCATTCATATAATTTATAAATTACTGATAAAAATGACTCAAGGGTTTAAAATTTTAAATAAAATTGGTGTAATTATGTAAAAAGCGTAGAGCTGATTATTTTCTTTAAACTTTTTTTTAGGGTTTGAGTGTAGTTCACCCTTTTTTAATTAATTCAATTGATTTTTTTATTATTTTTAAAAATTTATATTATATTGACAACAATGTATCAAATAAATATAATTTATGGTAATTAAGTGTATCTATTTACCTCTGCTCATAGGTCTGATTTCTTTTTTTACTTTTCTTCAAGTAAATGATGGGTTCGTTAGATTTATTTTGATACCAATTTTTTTTTATATAATTTATCAATTTTGATATTTATCTATATTTTCCTTTTATTTGATAATCTTTTGTATTTTCATCTAATTGATCATTTTTATATTCAAAACCATTTCTAATTTTATTTTTTATTTTTTATATTTCTTGTTTTGCTAGTTCAATGTTTTGATTACCTTGTGTAATTTATTTATTTTTATTATGATTCTATCTACATACCTTTTTTTTTTAATATTCTATTAAAGTTGCTAATTCCAATAATACAGTATTAGGCTGTTAAGTGCAGTTAGAATCTTTTACACATTTGTGCTTGCTCATATATTATGGATTTTATAAGTTTATGTTTTTATTGTTTATTTCTGTTTTTAATTGATTTTTTTAATATTTTTAATTTTTAAGATTGTTTAACCTCGACCGATATAAAAATATAAATAAAAAATTGACTCATTGTTAAATAATTTACTAAATACAAAAAAAAAATTTAATTTATAAAATTGGGGTGTAATTCTTTTAGCTTTAGTTAATATTATTTTATAGTTTAATAAAATAAAGGGATTTTTATTGATAAATGCAATTTAGAAGTGTTTTAACTCAAGAAGTCTATGAACGAATTTTTTAACCCATTTAGTCCCATGTATGTATAGTTTTATTTCATAAAGTCTTTTTTTTTTATTTACACTATTTTCTTGGACACTTATGCCCTTATATTTAATTTTGATACCCTTATAAATATTTTTTGAACAGTTAGCAATTTTATGATGTGAACATTCATATTTTAAATTTTACATTGGTAGGAATATAAAATTGGCCCGTGGGCGGCCTGAAACCCGACCGCGAGCGGGGGCGGGCCCGGCCTGTTGACAATCAAAATATTCACATTGACATGTTAACATTCACATTAATAGGAGTGTAAAATTAGCCAGCGTCCCATGGCGGCGCGAAATCTACCGGCGGCCCATGGACGGCCCGGGGCAAGCCCCTTAACAATGTGAATATTCACATTGACATGTTAACATTCACATTGATGAGTGTATAAAATTGGTCCGCGGCCCATAGGCGGCCAAAAGCCCCCCCGTGGCCCGGGGCGGGCCCGGCCCGGCCCGGCCCGTTGACAATGTGAATATTCACATTGACATATTAACATTCACATTGATAGGAGTGTAAAATTAGCCCGCACCCCGTGGTTGTCCGAAACCTGCCCACAGCCCGTGGGGCGGTTTGGGGCAAGCCCGGCCCAGCCTGTTAACAATGTAAATATTCACATTGACATGTTAACATTCACATTAATAAGAGTATAAAATTGGTCAGCGGTCTAGGGCTGGCCTGACCCGGCCCGTTGACAAGGTGAATATTCACATTAACATGTTAACATTCAAATTGATAAGATTGTAAAATTGGCCTGCAGCCCGACCCGTGACATTGTGAATATTCACATTGACATGTTAACATTAACATTGATAGGAGTGTAAAATTTGCCCGCTGCCCGAAGCTTCAAAGTGATGGCCCAGGCCTTAGCCTAGGGTCTCGAACTAGGCTCGAGCCTAGGCCCAAACGAGCCTTTCCCGAGCCGGGTCGGGCCGACCCACGGGCCAAAAAATTAGGCCCAGGCCCTAGCCCTGGCACAAGGGTATTCGGGCTTTGGACGGGCCGGTGGATCGAGCCTCGGGTCGGGCCGATGGGCCTAGGCCTAGCCTCAGGCTTGGGTCGGGCTTGGGCTTGGGCTGGCCTGGCCATTTTTTTTTAATTCTTTTTAATTTTTTCTACCAAAATTTTATTATTTTCCACAAAAGAAAAGACACTAGGCCTCGGGGTGGGCCAGGCCTGGCCTTAGACCGAGCCTTGAATGGGCCTTAACGAGGCCGATGGGCCGGGTCAGGCTTCAAAGTGATGGCCTAGGCCCTAGCCTAGGGTCTCGGACTAGGCTCAAGCCCGGGCCCAAACGAGCCTTTCCCGAGCCGCAGGCGAGCTTCGGGCAGCCTACGTTCTTTTTTACTATTCCATTAAGTCCTATTTGAGGTAAGAAGAACAAAATACTATTTTCATCTACTTATATTCTATTTAGTTCACATTATTTTCTTATGTTTCAATAAGTCGTATGGGAGACATAATTATCAAAATATCCATAATGTGAATGTTCATATCATCAATGCGTAGAGGCTCGGGCCGGCCCATATCGAGTCTTGTGGGTGTCCGAAAAAATCCGGGCCGCCCCGGTCCGGCCCGTGGGCCAAAAAATTAGGCCTAGGCCCTAGCCCTGGCACAAGGGTATTCGGGCTTTGGATGGGCCGATGGATCGAGCCTCGGGTTAGGCCGGTGGGCCTGGGCCTAGCCTCGAGCTTAGGTCGGGCTTGGGCGGGCCTGGCCATTTTTTTTAATTCTTTTTAATTTTTTCTACCAAAATTTTATTATTTTTCACAAAAAAAGACATTGCACCTCGGGCGGGTTGGGCCTTGGACCGAGCCTTGAATGGGCCTTAAGCGGGCTGATAGGCCGGGCTAGGCTTCAAAGTGATGGCCTAGGCCCTAGCCTAGGGTCTCGGACATGCTCGGGCCCGGACTCAAACGAGCTTGCCCCAGGCCATGGGTGGGCTTCAGGCAGCCCACGGGCCGCGGGGCAATTTTACATTCCTATCAATGTGCATGTTAACATGTCAATGTGAATATTCACATTGACAACGGGCCGAGCCGGGCCTACCTCAGGCCACGGGCAAGCTTCAGGCAGCGGGCAAATTTTACACTCCTATCAATGTTAATGTTAACATGTCAATGTGAATATTCACATTGTCACGGGTCGGGCCAAGCCCGTCTCGGGCTGCGGTCGGGCTTCGAGCCGCCCACGGGCTGCGGGCTAATTTTACACTCTTATCAATGTGAATGTTAACATGTCAATATGAATATTCACATTGTCAACGGGCCGGGTTAGGCCCGCCCTGGGCCGTTGGCCAATTTTATACTCTTATCAATGTGAATGTTAACATGTCAATGTGAATATTCACATTGTCAACAGGCTGGACCGGGCCCGCCCACAGGCCATGGACAGGTTTTCGGGCAGCCATGAGGCACGGGCTAATTTTATACTCCTATCAATATAAATGTTAACATGTCAATTTGAATATTCACATTGTCAACGGGCCCGACCGAGCCCGCCCAGGGCCGCAGTCTAATTTTGTACTCTTATCAATGTGAATGTTAACATGTCAATGTGAATATTCACATTGTCAATGGGCCGGACCGGGCCCGTCCGGGGCCGCCCATGGGCCGTGGGCGGGTTTCGCGCCGCCACGGGACGCGGGCCAATTTTACACTCCTATTAATGTGAATGTTAACATATCAATGTGAATATTCACATTGTCAACGGACCGGGCCCGCCCCGGCCCGACTCGAATTTTTTCGAGCACCCACGAGGATCGACATGGGCCGGGCCCCTACATATTGACGGTATGAACATTCACATTAGGGGTATTTTGGTTATTATGTCACCCATAGGACTTATTGAAACATAAGAGAATAATGTGAACTAAATGGAACATAAGTAAATGAAAAGGGTATTTTGGTCTTCTTATCTCAAATAGGGCCTAATAGAATAGTCAAAAAGAATATGAATTGAATGGAATAAAGCTGTTAAAAAGTGAATTTATCAAAAAAACTCCATTTAATAAACTATATTTTGTGATATTCATATATTCTGACAAACTAAACCCCGTCGGTTTAATAAGATGTAATTAGCACCACAAGTATTGAGAAGAGTATGGAAAATAAAGTATAAGTATGTTAAAAAAAATATTAAAAAGCAATTTTCTTTCTTTTTTTTCTTTTTCTCTTTTGCCCCTTGTCAAATTGAGGTCTTTATTTACAAAGAAAGACTTTGGAAGATAAGTGATGGTTGGCAACTGTTTTTTTTTTTTTTTTTTTTTTAGCCTTTTCTTTTGGCTCTTTTAAAAGAAAAAAATAATTATTAATAAAACTAATACATTTGATAAATACTATAAATATATATGCTCTGTCAAATGATAGTAGTTTTTTATTTTTATTTTTTAGTAAAAAATAATCAAAAGAAATTTCTATACAAGTGATTGCCAGTGAATTCATGTGATATCTTTTTATCCGAAAAAAAAAAAAAGAAAAAAAAGAAGAGACAAAAAGGAGTACGATAATTAAACACACATGAAGCATCTAGTGACTATTTTTGCCATAATCATACAAAAGTTTGGTTATATGTTTTACTAGGAAAGTTAACCTTGAATCAATTAAACACACATGAAGCACAAACATTCCAACTAAGAGGAATTTTACAATGAAAATTCTTTGATCAAGACAAATAATAATGTGTGTTTTACATTTGTAAAAAGGGGTATTGCTTGTCAAACAATTTGTATACACAGAATATGCTAAAAATATGTACACATATGTATCCAATGCAAAACAACTATACATCTCAAATAGTACAAGTAGAAGTAGGAAATGATATGTTTTTCTAATCAAAGGGATCAATCCGTGGATCGTGCTCGCTTGCCATTGCCATCCCTGTACAGAGGCACGTAGGGCACATGACCTGCAAAATGGAAAGGTGTTTAAGAATTTTTTTTGCATAATTCTCCAAAGTCGCAATTTGGAGACTGCACGTATTATCACTACAAGCTCCTCACTAAAATCATGATTTAGCATCCACCTATTAAAAAATAATAATAATAATAATTTGCATAGGCATCTTAACATTGGCAAAGTTGCAAGTTTGGCAATTGCTTTTTTAGTTGCTTTTTTGCTCACATGTGTTATCACTTTTCTTTATTAACATAGTGATTTTCTCGACTTCAAAAGAACTACAAAAGCACCTTAATACCCTTCTCTACTAAGGAAATAACAAATAGCAACCAATACAAGCCATCAATGTCAACTCAATTACTGTCAAGGGATTATCCACAAAGCTAATCTAGTGTTTTAATGCATTATGATGACTTCCACAGCTCCGGTAGGGAAACAAAGATATAATCAAACAGGTCAGCTTATGAAACCAACAAAAGAGAATTAAGTCAAGCACGTTGAAGTCAGTAATCTAGCTCAAAAAATAATCATAAGAAGGGCTTCCAAGCATTCAAAATTAAATCTTTCCTTTTCCTGATAATACAAGAAGACATCTCCATAATCTTTTCATGGGAGTATCTCACAACCATTGAGGCGGTTTTCATGCATATAAGCTATATACATAATGCATGGCACCTGGAGAATGGGCGATCCTCCAAAGTCCCACCCATAGCAAATGTAAATAGATCATATATGACATGAGGAAAATAAATATAATAACTGAAATCCAGGTGTCTAACCTTTCCAGCACCGGAACAGTTTGAACATCGTTCAGTTTTAGGTGGTGATAAGGGCTGATCTCTAGCATTAACTGTTGACTCCGGTTCAATAAGGACAAGTGCTCCTGAGCTTGAACAACGAGCACAAGCAAGATATCCTGCATCAATTAGATGAGCAGCATATAAGCACACCAAGTATAGATGTCATATTTTATAACCATGGGTTCAAATATGTGCAGAAGTCATTTAGTAGTCAAGAAGAAGAAAAGAGACGAAAAAGGAAAGAGAAAAGAAAAGACTAAATTCAGATTATTGGACAAGAGTTCCAATTGCAAATCCTTCTATTGTAACAAATAGTCTCCTATGATTATCTTCTCACCATTCCAACCTAGGAACAAAATTCCATTTCTTTTCCATCGAAACGACAGAAGCGTTTCTGTTTCCTAGAAACCAAAATGAAACATTAGTGAAATACCAAAATACCAAATTTTTTAACCGAAATATATCAAAACAATGAGTTGTTTCAACCACCTATTAAGAATATTTAAGAATTTTCATTTCTATTTGCCTCTTTTTATCAAAAGAAAATTTTGAGAATAAAGAAAAATTGTTAAAATTATTAGGGAAATTGAAACTAGATAGGAGAAGAGGAGAGATAAAGAGACAATAAAACAAGCATGATTAAATCGCTTTTTTTTTAATCCCTACTACTAAAATTTTGCATTTTTCTGAAGTATTTTCTTATAGTGGCACATCGACCCTAACTAAGCCCTTAAACCTTTTTTTTATTTTATTTTATGAGCTTCCATATTCATAGACATCAAGACATTTGTTGGATAGCGTGATATACAGTGTACCCATTTCCTAATAGCTTAACTTTTTGGAAAAATTGGTGACTTAACATGGTATCAAAGCTTAGGTTGACAGAGATCTTGGGTTCAAGTCTCTCCGTCGAAATTTGGTATTCTGCCTCCATTTTGTTTCTTCTCTATTTGGTTGTTTGCACGTGAGGGATGGTGTTGGATAGCTTAATATACATTGTTGGACCCATTTCCTAGCTTAAGCTCTAGGAAACAACATACCAAACCAAAATTTTGATCCTTGGTTCCAACAGAACATAGGGGTGGGTGTGATCATTAAGGTTGTGTGGATTCCAGATTTATGGAGGGAATATGAAATAAATACTTCTTTTGTTTGGTTGTGATGGAAAAATACAAGAGAAAGGACCAAGGAGAATCATTTTTGTTGAGGAACGCCAATGGGACACAGGGAGAAAATTCATAAGACTCCACCAGTCGAGGTTTGCATTAGTTGGCAAGGTGGCATCATTGATGGACTTTTGGGCGTCAAAGCCATCATTGAACTGAGATGGAAGATGGTTACGGAGCAAGTGGTAGTTGACTGAGAAGATGACAGAGGGGAGGTCACTGGCAAGTCAGTGGCAGAAGTTGTGATGGGCTTGAGTTTGGGGCAAAGAGCATAAATCCACCACACAGCTCAGCCAATGACATTGTCTTCCTCCAAATCAAAAACAGTGTGCTTGATCTTAATCCACAAGGCACAAGCTATCTTCTCTCATGTTTCAGGAAGTTGGATTGCATAGAAATATCCTGACAAGAAGCATCTCTCTCACAAATAGCCCTCAATGTTTGAGTCAACCTTTGATGGATGGCGCAATTCGCATCGGATTTAACTGTATGATCCAAATGGGTACCAAAATCACCGCATGGAAAAATCCAAACTTTATTGCCTGGAAACAACTCTTTTTTTCTTTTTCTTTTTTATAAAATGTTATTCACAATCTCATCAATTGGAAAAACAGCGTTTTAGCTTTTGCAATGAAGAAGAGCATAATGGATTCTGAAAGCATCAATTTCTATTCTTAGTTTTCATGGACTGCAAGAGCTTTCAATCCATAGGATGAAAGCAATACAATCTCCATCTACCCTTTCTCCCTAGAGATTGAAGATCTTTAAATCACAAGGTCCAGTTTTGGTTCACAGTTTTGACCCTCTCTTTTTGGAATCCATTCTATTGCTACATATTTATATCCATATGCATGGGTTAGAAATCACGCGTGGTGTGATGGGTTTGGGAGTAGTGAGCTTATTGGTCATGGTAGACAATTTCTTGAGAAATGTCTATCCATTTCCTCCTCAATTTAATCAAACAAGAGCATGGAATTTGGATTCTCTCATTTCCTTCTCCTTTTCCTTTACTTTTCCCCATCTATTTCCTTTCACTCAATAAATCTAGAATCCAAACACTTAGAATAAGCTGCAAATAATTTCTACACGAACTTTGGTAGGAGGAGAAATATGTACGACAGCTTAGAAAAGTTAGAATAAGGTGCCTAGAATTGAGTTTTGCAGTATGCTTAGGTTTAGGAAAGCTGCTAATGTAGAGTTGCGAAAGGTAGAAACTGAGATTAGCTTAATTTTCATCAGCTAAAATTAGCTTGATTCTGAAACTCTTGGGTTGATGGATTTCCAGAGGGAAGTAGCTGGAACCCTCTAGACAGCAGCTCTTTTAAGGTACTTTGGTGGTAGGGGAAAGAGATATGGACAATACGGATTAAAATCAGGGTTGTGGCTTGGGTATTGAAACAATAACCCAAGAACAACACTCCTAGTAACCTGCAAAGAAAATAAGAAAGCAAGAAGAGAGGCTTAACTTCAAATGAATTAAACAAAATCTCACAAAGACAATATCAATTTTCTAATACTCAACTCTTAATTGAAAAGAAACATTTTGTGCATAATTACAAGTTGCAAGAGTTTCCCAATTTTATTAGGACTACAAGACTTCAGTTTAGAAACTATGAAGTTTGGATGATTCAGAATATTTTAAACCTAATGTAGACCATATATTCCAAAACAGACAACTTGACCCATATTACTGGTAGAGTAAAAACACAACTCGTGTTCATCAATTCTTCAGTTAACCAAAATACCCTTGACTTAAAACATTAAAAAAATAAAACATAAACAAAAGCAACGAGCAGTAAACTAACTCTAGATAAACTACAAATAAGACTGTAAACATAACCATGGATACTTCACTTTGAACTGGAAAAAAAATTATTGTGTTAAAATCAACCCACTACACCACTACCACCTCCACTTCACCTACTCCACTAAACCTAACCCACTACACCACTACCACCTCACCTACTCCACTAAACCTAACCCACTACACCAATACCACCTCCACTTCACCTACTCCACCTACCACCTACTACCACCTACTCTTCTATATATAGGAATCATTGTAACATTCAATAATATCAATCAATAATATCAATCAATAATATACATCAATTTATTTTACATATTGCATGGCGCAGGACCCATAGGCAAGCACCTATCTCAAACAAAGATATTAAACCTACAGAGAAAACCTTAAAAATGGGTTTCACAAACTAGGATTTGTTTCAAAATGCATACCGGTTCCAAGACAATACTTGCATCTTTTATCCTCTTGCTGTTTTACATTATTTATTTCAACGACCATCAAGGCCGAGATCACTCCAACAGCTCCCCCAGAGAATGATGCGACAATAGGATCAACCTCACTGCAATTCCAACAAAAGAAATCCTAAGTACTAAAAACTAGAAGCAACAGTGTATATGCATCAGTTAAATATATCATATCACAGAAAAGGTTAAACAAAGCTCTTAACATCTTAAATTCTGGAACTTCTAAAACCCTGGAAACAAAATTTAAACTTTCAATTCTATATCTGTGCTTGTAATATGGCTGATATATATGCTTTAAACTATGTACTTTTATTTTCAAAAGAAAATTAACAATCAACTTTAAATTACCTTCCCCCTCACTCCACTCCCCACCCAAACGAAAAGAAAAACGAAAAAATAAAACTACTCAACTCTACAAGCCTTAAACCCAATCACTTAGGGTTGTCTACATAAATTCGTTTTCTATAGTTGGCTCTATGGAAACTCATATCCTCCATCAAGTACCAAAAAGATATGTAGAATAAAAAAATAGGGGTCTTTCAGAATATTAGCTTTTAATTTTAATACAATGATGAACATGTCAAATCATATGAAATGCAAAATGAATGAACTATGAGTAATGTTGTTGTGTCTTACGCCTTAGGGACCATTTTGCACTGAAGCACCTCTCCAGAATAATGTAACACAAATGCTATGTAGATGGAATGACAGTGCAATGTTAAGATGAGCAACAGTTCTTTAGTTGAGAATAGGGCAACCACTGGCAAGCTTCCATCCATATAACTTATAAGATATATAATTGCTATTTGGATGGTGGTGAAAAAATGGGTAACGAATGAAACTGTACAAGAGCAACACAGTTCGGTCTCTGAATCTTATTAACAGGTGAGTTGACCTTGCATTGTCTCAATTATTATCTGTCATTAAAAACTTCACATAATCTTTTCTACTATCCTAAATGAATCAGCAACAGACACATATATGATTCACCAAGCTGAATGACCGATTATATATCTTCCTTGTAGTTTCTAAGACAAATTACCCAAGCTAAACAAGTAGTCTGAAGGAGTCAAATGCACAGACAACAGATCATTCCAAACGAATCATCTGGTACAAGGAATTTTAAGTAAAACGCGGAACAATCAGAACTTACAACAATGGAAATATATATGGTTACATTCCATAAATGAGTACCTCAACTGCATTGGCAGATGCAGACTACGAATAAAATCTTCATATGACGTGCCTCCTAGTCCCAATTTCAGCTCCAACTGAAATAAAATAAGCATTTGAAAGGGGAACTGGTTAGGGTATGGACAGGATTCATGCCTTTTTAAGAACAAAGAAAATGTCAACTTGATCTCATAACGTTGTTCCTACAACCCTACTAGTTTGTAGACATCCCAAGACTGAGGTAAACTAAAGTATTCTAGCTTTTTACACTAAGTTTGAGCGTTGGTCCTCAATAAGGTTTTAACTTATTTTATACATGTAATAGAAAATTGATGCACAACATGCAATGCAAATAAAAAGGGGGGGAATGGAGTTTTGCATGGAGCCCATTTACTGCATCATCAAATGATGTTTAGGTCTGATTTGAGACTTAATATTTTGTTTCCTGTTAGTCACTGGTTAATTTACTACCTTGATTCTAATATTCAAGTGAAAGAAAACTTACAATTGGTGCTAGAAGTCCACCAAAAAGGATAATCCCGGCAATAAGAGAGAAACAGCTAGCATAGTACAGCTTAAGATTTGCTGAGCTCTGCATGAAATATATTTGTCAATCATTATATGAAGAATCTCTTGAAGGGAAGCAAAGGAACTGAATTATGTTTATTCATAGACAACAAGGGTAAAGATATAGGCTCTGTTTGGTTGTGCTCTGAAATCAGTTTTCTACCTGTGTGTTGGAGTATGATGTTTGGTTTCGTTTTCAAATTAATTTTCTACACTCTGCAGAGAGAACTCTGATGCACAGGCGCCTTTTTTGTCCACCCGGATGACCCCCCGGTAGACCACCCGGATGACCACCCGGTAGACCACCCGGATGATCATTATATGAAGAATCTCTTGAAGGGAAGCAAAGGAACTGAATTCTGTTTATTCATAGACAACAAAGGTAAAGATATAGATAACGCGGAACAAAATTTATGTCATTGAGCCGTTGTAGAAGGAGTACAAATACATTGTAAGAAACCTTACCAATGGAGGCAAGAATGGAATGAATGAGGGAAAATCTGGAAGTTCATTTTCTTGTTCTTCCTTTAGAATTCCAAGTTCAGCACTTTTTATCCTCTGCTGTATCCGCAGCCGGCGAACCTATGAAAGTTTTTTTGAGTGTACAAGTATTAGATACATGATGCCAAAACAACAATAACTCTTAAGTATTAGCTACATGAAATAAATTTGTCAGGCATGCTTCCAAAGGTCTCCAGGTCAATGCCCATTTGAAGGCCCCTCAAGCAAGCTGTGAAATTTTTCACAAATCACATTCCGGTAGGTCCCACATAACGAGAAACTTCTTTCGGCTCAAGTTTTATTTTCCAAAAACACTCTATGGGTATCTATATCGTACTTGACACGTGGCGAGCCCCACGGGTGTCACATCATCACCATCATACATTCATGTGGCAGAGCTCTAAGGCACTACAATGAGTTAGGGCTGTATGCCTAGCCTAAACAGAGGCAAGCACACCACCAAGTATGAAACAGGACCACAACTCACTTTAATAGAGTTGGCTCACCTAGAGCTCTCCATGGTCCGTCATGACTCATAAGAAATATATTCTTTGCCCACTTACCCCAGCTCCATAACAACATAGTTGGACCCTTGGCTCACCTATGTTCACTTAGCTACTCAGGGTGCTCACCCACTTGGATGCCTAGGTTGGGAACAGGACCTAGGCACCCCCGCTTGGGATCATTGGAGGATTGTGGATTGGAGGTTAAGACCTCGGGATCATCAAGGCCATGTAACTATCTCTCTGTTGTGACAGTTCTACCTTAGAGAAAGGAGACGTTGACCTTACATCCACACTTGTTGCATATATGATGTGCCTCGCAAGACATCATACCTACGCCTGTAACTCCTATGATGCAACCTTCCCAAGGACCAGAATCATAGGACAGCTAGTAGGGTTGATATCACCATTATGTCGAGTCGAGGAGAACTTGCCAACTGTCTCTAGATTGCCACCTGTCTCTAGATTGATTGGGCTCCAATACTCCTGGAGTCTATATAACAGTATCATAAGTGCAGCCACAAGAACAACAAGAATCATAACAACAATATATACAACGTGTTCAAGGTCTCTCACTGCCACCCCTTTCCTCTCTAAGCTTGTCGTGGTCTTCTCCTCTTCCATCTCCAGTGATCTCAAGCCATTGAAGTGCCCGCCATCTTCCCAAAGGCCAACAACCGATTGCCTCTAACCTCACTCACCCACACACTCTAGTAGCCTCCATTCCATGTCTGATCAATAGGAGATCAAGCGAGCCACCACATCAAATTACAAACTAGTAGCTAGCACTAGAAACCAGTCGTTTGAATGGGCAACCGAAACCTGGCCTAATTAGGATTGCACTTTATGATTTTATTATAAAACAGTAACCTAATTTCTCATGCATGAAACGCACACAATTTTGAGAGACAAAACTTAGGTGTACTTGGCTTTACTTTGTTCTCTTGAAATCCATTGTCTTCCCAATCAATGAACTAGATCTTTTGTGAGAAAAAATTTTGAGAGTTTCATGATTGAGTGTGTAGATATTAAAATTTTTACAAATAAAATGCTCTTTATTAGTCAAAATTAAAATGGTCAAAGTCTCCCAATAGGTGTGAGACCGACCAAAATTATGGATGTCAACCCATTTAAATTATGGGTCACACCAAAAAAAACGTGTTAATCCATTTTGACAAATTGGTTTAAACCGAAGGTGTGGGGCTTGCGAAGATATTTTGTCAAGATTTGGTGAAATAATTCAAATTCAAATTTCAATGCAAATTATTTCCATAAAGTGAGATAAATTTCTATTTTTCTTGGAAATTAAAATAAATTTTGGAGTGTCCAAAATTGTCTCTTTTCTTGTAAGCCTATAAATAGAGGCTCTCACTATTGGGACACACTCATTTGGCTAAGGTCTTGTAAGCACCTAAGCAATCTCAAGAATCTATCAAATTCTCTTCTTAAAATTCTCTTTGAAAACTCTTCAAACCTAAAATGAAGGATTATTAAGCACTCTAAATTGGTGCCAATCCTTTTCAAGTTACAAATAAAAATTTGATCTTTTCTTTCAAACAGATCATTTCAAAGTTTGTTTGAGATCAAGCCATTCAAGCCCTCGATCAAGCATCTTTTCTTCAAGTTTCTCTATGCGAAGACTTGAAGAAATCCATCAACTTGCTCGGTTTAACAAGAAGCTTCTACAACCATTGGACTGTAGCTCATCTTGGAGATTGAATCAGAGGATTTGTTCATTTTGTAATAGAGAAAACCATAGAGGATTGTACCTACTTTATTATAATTAATAAAAATTGAATATTTGTGCTACTTTTTCACATCTTTATTGTAGGACACAAAATTCGTGTGTACAAAGTAATTTTTCAAAAACCCACAAACATAGTTGCATCTCATATGGTCATACTCATCCACATACGTTGTGTAACTGAGCTGCAAAAAGTGGAGATTGAAGTGAGGTGTTTTGCTTATCAGTGGTGAATCAATGAGTTGTCTACTGAGTTAAAGCCAGATAAAGTAGAGCACGATAGGGTTGGGCATAAAAATAGCCGACATGTCCAACCAACCCGATCCAACCCTACCCGCAGTGATTTGGGCAGTTTCGACTAATGGTTAGGGTCGGATGCAGGTCTATTTTAGAGAGAAACTCGGGTTGCGGGTTAAGTGGTTGGACCCGGAAGAAACCAACCCGCCCGTACATTTTTTTAAAAAAAATTTAAACCCTAGCAACACAACAACCACACGCTTCCTTTCTCATCTCTTCTTTCTCTCTTCTCTTCTCTCTTTGCCGACTACTGAAAGTGAAAACCTTGAAGAGAATAGATTCAACACATTCATCAGGTAATACATATACATACATCAATCATCATCATCTTCATCATCTATATATTTATTATATATATATATTCATTCATGTTGACTCAGTTTTCTTGAAAGCAATGGATTCAACATATATAAATGTATATATATATATATGTATATATTTTCATTAACTCATATATATACATAAATTTCTCAAAACCCAATAATTTAATTTGAAAATCATAGTTTTTTGTCTAAATTTTCCAAAATCCAATAATTTTCATACATATTATTTTATTATTAAATTTATTTTACTATTTTAATAAAAATCATGCATACAGAGTGAAGTTTTTGAATAGAAATTTGTTAGTTGTCAAAGAAAATTTCAAGGAAAACAAAAATTTTAACCCACCCAACTGATCTACACTCACCCTTGAACCCGATTAACCCACCTGCACAAACCAAAAACCGCATTCCTAGCGACTGCAGATCAAATTCTATTAACCCACAATACTGCGGGTCGGATCAAACCCGCGACCCAATCCGGCCAAAACCAGCTCGTGGGCAACCCTAGGGCACGAGCCAGAAGCTTACATGAAGATTACTTGAGTGAGGTTAATCCCACTTGTGTTTTTAGTCCTTTCGTCTTGAACCTTGTACTCTTTTGATTCATAGTGGATTTTAGCCGGCTTGATGTTCAAGTGATTCTTCCTTTGGAGAGCAATGTTCAAGGTCTTGCACATTAAAATTCTTGCCTTGGTACATATATATATATAACACTACACCCAGTTTAGTCCCCATTGTTATGCAACATAAATCTTACCTTCGCAAAACTAATGAAAAAAATCATTACAGTATCGTCAAGGATGCCAATGAACAAAAAGTTATACCTCTAAAACTCACCTCCTCCATATGCAAAAATATTTTGTTTCTCCGGCTTCGTACATTATCTAGAATTTCTTGCAGTTCCATTTTGGCAAAATCCCTCACTGTTTCAGGTCCTTCAATAATACAAAACCTGCACCCAAACACACAACCTTTGACAATAGCATGTAACGGCATGTCACACCTTAATTCTTTGTGGGTTTGTTTATCTTAACCATATGTCAACAAGAAGATCAAACATGTTTCATCCAGCAATATGTTGGAAATTAAGGCCATCTCCAGCAAATCATGTTATTTCAATTGTGATAATGTCATATTTTAGCATGTTATATTGTCAATTTTGAGAGCTCTGCTCTGGCACAATTCAATTTCTACCATACGATACAATCATACGTACTTAATTATAGGTATTCGCAGTATCTTTTAGGGTAAATTACAAATACACTCCCTGAGATTTGATTAAAATACGAATTGCCTCCTGTGGCTCTGGAAATTACGTTCTACCCCCTGAGATTTCTAATTTCATAATAAATAGCTCATTTTATTAATAAATCATCGAGTCAATTAATAATTTTTAATGATGTTAGAAATATGTTTCAATTAATAATTTAGGTAATTTTATTATTGTATAAGAAATCAATTATAGATTTCATTTTTTTAGTTAATTCTGTTAAAGAAAAATTTCTAACAAGGGAATATTTGTAATTTCTCAAATCACAGGGGGCAATCTATACTTTAAGCTAACCTCAGGGCAAGTATTTGTAATTTACCCTATCTTTTATTTTATATATATATATATATATATATATATTTGTAATCAAGGTTCTGAAAAGCGGTTGCGGTTGCCGTAACGGTGGCGGTGGCGCGGTTGTGGTTGCGGTTGCGGGTGTGGGGTGTAAAGGCCGTAGCGTAACGGTTGTAGTAACCGGAATCGTGAATTTTTTTTTTTCCGCACAATTTGAAAAAAACTTATCAATATGCATATTTTTTTCCATAATCATATTTATTGGGTTTAAAATAAATATTGATAAATTTTTGTAAATTTTTAAGTATAATCTAATATATTTCATATTTTTAAATCACTATAAACTAAGTTTTTTACATTTTATTTTAATAATTAATGACTTTATATTATACAAAAAATCAATCACTAACTATTATATATAAGATAAACAATGATAAAAGTAAGAGAATAAATAAGAGCCTAAATATATATATATATACACATATTTTAACCGAGCCAAATAGAAAATGACCATACTTATTATTATTATTATTAAACAATATATAAATAGACACACACAAACCAAATGGTCGAGTGATAGCTGCTAAACAGAATAACATAGGTCTTACAGCTTCAACAAACCAATAACATGTTCATCTTCTCTCTTCTCTCTCTCCATCTCTTGCTCCTCTATCTGCTCTCTTTATCTTCCCTCTTCTCTCTATCCCTCTTTCCCCATTTTTTCACCTTTTTTTTTGTGTGTTTTTTCGAAAGAAGCAGTTCGGAACCGTTACGTAACGGTGCGTAACAGGCCGTTATGGCTGTTACGGCACCGCTATGGCAGCCACTACGGCCGACACACTTATGAATCTCAATCACACTGCAAAAACGGCCGTAAAGGGTGGCGGTAACCACCACAACCGTTACGTAAACCTTGTTTGTAATCCAACAATTAATATTAAAAATTCAACTCATTAACTTAATATTAAAATAAATTAAATAAAATTTGACAGTTAGTATTTTATGATGGAATGCCTTCAAATTGTACTTTGAATTAAAATTGTTCTACTATGAAAGTTAGCATTTTTTTTTAAAATAGAACATGCCATGCGGATGATCCACATCTCAAAGTCAAGTGCTGATGAGAACCAATCGACTAATTGATGGGTTTAGATTTGTTTAGACTATAATTAATGGATACTGTGGTAGCAATTCTGACCGGGAAGGCCAGGGCTATTGGGCTGCCAAGATACATTGTGGGCCTAGGTTGGGCCATCTTAATGGCCTAAAATAAGGACCAAGATGGGTGGCTAAGCAAGACCAATCAGAAGCCCAGTGGGCTTGGGCCCAGTCTTCGACTGGTTGAATGGGCAAGTTGTGCAAGCCCGGTGGGCAGATGGGTGTGGGCCGAACTGGTCTACATATCAACCGGTCTACCTATGATATGACCGGCTTGGTTATTGGGCTACTCTCATTATCAATAGGAACCGAGCCGAATAAAACAATGTGCTCGGCCGATATAGCCAGTCAGTCCCGTTTGGTGGTGCAATTTATCAGTGGTAGATGCGTGCATGATGCTAAGTATTTGGGATAACCATTAGCCACATGGATTGGAGTTCGTTCATGTTAGACTAGGGAAGTGATAAATGAATCTATAATCTCTGTACCTCTAATTTCTTTTCCCCATCGTGATTCTTTCAGGAGCAAATTATTGTCAGAGGTCTAAAGAATGGATCATGTATTGTTCACGTGCACAGAAATCTGTGTAAGTACAAATACCTTTGAGCCTTGTTTGATTAGCAAGATTAATAGTTAGGGGATTAACAATCCATATTGTTAGTGTAACATTGGTTATCTAGTTGGATTAGAGAGGTAAATAATTTCTTCCTGTTCACGTTTATTTTGCAATATAAATAGAAAAATATGATCTCAATTATATGTTTGTTTTGTATTATTAGTTGTAGGAATAAAAAGTTTGCCAATTTTGTTGGATAGATCATCTATCAAAATCTAATCCGAATAACAAAAATTGCAACCAAACAATCGAATGTGAGTTCCATGGTTTAATAATTCCAATCCTATGTTATAATCCGTCCAACCAAATAAGCTCTTGTATCCTAAAATAGTTGTGTATATTAATTATTAACTTTATTGTATTTATATTTATTAAAAAAAAAATCAACTTTTTTCGGGGGCAATATAGAGCCATTCAATAGTCAAACATTCATCGTCCTAAAATTTGGCATGATACTCCTATTGTGCCAAAATGTAGCAATAGCATGATTAGATAGCAACTGTTGGAGTTGCTCTGAGCAGTCAAGTTCCAAACTACTCAAGAAAAAACAAGAATTGTTAATCTATCTTCTTCTTTTTTTCCAGCTGAACTAGAAACAAGTGATATCACATATAAACTTCAAATTCAAATTCAAATTCAAATTCAAATTCAAATTCAAATTCAAATTCAAATCAAAACATAACAAAAAAAATGCGAATATATGTAGAATAGTATAGAGATTGGTTACCCAGGGGCGTTTATATCGGTAGAATCAGAATCAATTGAAGGAGCAAATGAAGAAGCCTCAGGTTCGGAGGCCATGGGTCGCCATTTGTGGGTGGATTTGAGCACTTGAAGGAGGAATCTTGAGTTTTGGAACACTGAATTGTGGGGAATCAAAGTCGATATAGGGCAAGAAACCGCCAGAATTCTACCTGAACAAACCATCTCTAACCGCCCCTTCTCTCTCACTCTCTCTCTCTCTAAAAACGCATAGCTCTCTCTGTGTCTTCTAATGGAGTAGAATGGCGGAGTGTATCTTTTGTCGGTGAGGTCTCTCTGATGCGTAAGAGAGGTCGATACGCGTTTGGATTCTATTGGCCTTTCCGTTTTTTAAACTCTCATATTTTTTGAAAAAAATTAGTTCTTTTTTTGTGTAGGAGAGATTTAAATTTATTTATTTTTTTATTAGTTAAGGACTTTAAATAAAATTTTTCTATAATCATATTAGAGAAATTTTAAAAATCTTTTGTGAAATTAAAGAAATTTTATTGTAAAAATTTAACTTTTTCTGTGTCGAGACTGAAATTTTTTTGAGTCCGACGAAATTTCTCTGAGTCAAATTTTCTCTGTGAAAATATTGAGAAACCTTAACTACTATAAAAATATTATATGTCCTTTATCTATCAAAATTTTTTTAAAAAAATTCTCTTATCTTTTATGGAAACAATTATTAAATACAACTTAACATTAAAAATAAAAATTTTAAATAATAATAATAATAAAGGTAAATTACAAACGATTTTGTTAAGCATTTATTAAGGATGCATTAAATACTATTACCACTCTCATAGAAAGCAAAAATTATAAATATATTTTGTTAGAGACTAAACTATCATTTTCTCTAATTCCTTATATTTTAAAATTATATATTTTTCATAATAGATTTTTTTTAAAAAAAAAATTATCATAAAAGTAAATGCCTTTATTTTAAATAACATTTTGTAGAATTTGTTTTAAAATTTTAAATGCCTTCTATTTTCAATCGTAATTAAATTATATAGTGTAAAGAAAATAAATTTAAAAATTAAAAAAATAAAAGGGTATATAATTTTTTTATATTTGTTACAAAAATAAAGGGCATAAAAAAATTAAATATCATGAAAAAAAATAAAAGGCATATAATTTTTAATAATTATTGTAAAAATAAAGGACATATAAAAAATTTATTAAAAAAACCACAAAACATATATGACTTTTATTTTCCTTTTACACCATATAATTAATTATGATTCAAAACAGAGGATATTTAAAGTACAAAAAAATTCCATGAAATGTCATTTAAAAATAAAGACATTTACTTTTATGATAAAAAAAAATGCTTAAAAAAATAGTAAATTGTTGAAAAACTACGAAAGGTATAAGACATTAGGTCCAATGGATTTTTTTTATTGGTGAGAGGTTCACCTTTTGTGAAATATTGGTAAGAAGTCACATTGTTTGTTTTGAATGACATTTTATTTCTAATTTTAACCCTTAATTTATCTATTGACCTTTTTTTTATCTGTTGACTTTTTTTTGATTATCTGTTCAATTTTTTTTCTATCTATTCAAATTTATATCTATCTGTTTAATTTTTTTTATTAAGGATGCATTAAATACTATTACCACTATCATAGAAAGCAAAAATTATAAATATATTTTGTTAGAGACTAAACTATCATTTTCTCTAATTCCTTATATTTTAAAATTATATATTTTTCATAATAGATTTTTTTAAAAAAAAAATTTATCATAAAAGTAAATGCCTTTATTTTAAATAACATTTTGTAGAATTTGTTTTAAAATTTTAAATGCCTTCTATTTTCAATCGTAATTAAATTATATAGTGTAAAGAAAATAAATTTAAAAATTAAAAAAATAAAAGGGTATATAATTTTTTTATATTTGTTACAAAAATAAAGGGCATAAAAAAATTAAATATCATGAAAAAAAATAAAAGGCATATAATTTTTAATAATTATTGTAAAAATAAAGGACATATAAAAAATTTATTAAAAAAACCACAAAACATATATGACTTTTATTTTCCTTTTACACCATATAATTAATTATGATTCAAAACAGAGGATATTTAAAGTACAAAAAAATTCCATGAAATGTCATTTAAAAATAAAGACATTTACTTTTATGATAAAAAAAAATGCTTAAAAAAATAGTAAATTGTTGAAAAACTAAGAAAGGTATAAGACATTAGGTCCAATAGATTTTTTTTATTGGTGAGAGGTTCACCTTTTGTGAAATATTGGTAAGAAGCCACATTGTTTGTTTTGAATGCCATTTTATTTCTAATTTTAACCCTTAATTTATCTCTTGACCTTGTTTTTATCTGTTGACTTTTTTTTGACTATCTGTTCAATTTTTTTTTTATCTATTCAAATTTATATCTATCTGTTTAATTTTTTTTTACCTTATCTTTGTTATTTTATGATATTTTTAATTCAAATTTTATTCCTATCTATTTAATTTTTTTACTCTAAATTTTAAATGTTGAAATTCTATCTATTCAAAAAAATTTAATTTTTTCTATCTGTTAAGGTATCAAACAAAACCAAATCCTATATGTTCAAATATGTCTTCTCTCTATCTATGTCTCTTACTCACACGTCTATTCAAAATCATCATCAATAACTAATCTTATCTGTCAAAATTCTATCTGTTGAATTTTTTATTATATTTTTTCAAAATCTATCTGTGTGAAAATGCCATATGTTTGAAATTCTTATATATTGAAATACCAAGCCAAAACGAATCCTATATGTTGAAATATAGAGCCAAACCAATCCTATCTATTATAACACAAAGCCAAACCAAACCCTAACAAATACTCAACAACAAATCTGTACTGATTTGAGTATCATCACCAACAACATTCATCATCAACAACAAAAAGAACAAGAGATCAACAACTACCACAAAAAAAAATTAAAAAAAAAATCTATAAATAAAGAGACAGATACATACACATATATGATAACAACAAATCGACTACAAAATAATAATAATAATAATTTGTAAAGAGAGAGATAAACACATATACATGTATACATACATATATACACATACATACATTCGAAGAACCTAGCCAATATATATTTGAAGCTAAATACGTATATTAGAGCTTGATGCTCCAGTTCTTACCATTGTGCCGCCATGAACGATGGCTAAAACCCTAATTTGGATTGCGAAGCCCATGCCGGCGTCCATCCTTCATATCTATGGTTACGCGATGTGATTTGGTTCCAAATCTAGTAGAGAGAGAGAGACGGGAGAGTGGCTTTGGTGAAGACGATTCTAGTAGCGATGATGGCAAAGCTGATCGACGTAAGAAAAGAAACTAGTGGTTAGCACCAGGGGATGACTTCTCAACTTGGATCTTGGCACCAAAGACCAGATATAAAGAATAGAGAAGGGTTGTAGTGCCTAGGGTCTTAGACCAAACTTGTTTATGTTAAGTGGCAACCGTTACTTTATACTTCCAAATTTTTTTTTTTGGGACTTTTGAAAAGTTATGAGTTGCATTTAACCTTTTAGTTATTATAATTGAGACCTTCTCCTCATTGTTTGGAGTCTTGATTGATGAGTTAACATGTTGGTTAGGCAAGATTAGACCAAGAATGCCAAATTCAAATTTTTATTTTGAGTAGTGTTCACTCTTTTGCCTTTTTCTTTCTCCACATTTTGAATCCTAATGTAAGGCTAGAACCATTGGAAAGCTTATATTCGGGGCTTCAATTTTGACATAAAATTGACCATATTTGAACGATGGAGTTACGCTTGTTTGAAGTCAGTTATCAAAAGCTGTATAGGTCATATCTGCACAAGCGGAATCTAAATTCCATATAAGCGGATTTCGCAAGTAAGCCATTTTTTCCTCAATTGATCTGCACGAGTAGATTTTGCTTGTCTAGACATCAATTTTTGTGCTCTTTTCACTCAAATCGTGTCTCTCTCTCTCTCTCTCTCTCTCTCTCTCTCTCTCTCTCTTCCTCTCTCTCTTTTTGACCATTTCTCATCACTCTCTCTCTCTAACTTTTGTATTTTCTTCCTTCTCTGTAAACTCTCTATAACATCACTTGGGGGTACTCGTGCATGTTAAACATATCGAACCCTCAACTTCTTTGATATAGTCTCACGAGTGTAATGTGAAACATATATAAAAGTCCAAATTTGGCAACTTTTATGGAAAATCCGTTTTAATACAAAATCTTTGCCAAAAATAGACTACATCACTAGATCTTAGAGTTGCCACCTAATATTTTGAGAAAATTAGAAAACCCATGACTCATGCCAAGGCCACTGTTCGTCGTAACCAAGGATGCTTGGTTCAGAACATTAGGTATGAGGGGGAAATGTCATTAATTGAGCACCCCCCGCTCACCCGATCAAAAGATCGGCCTCTACTAAACCATGATATGATTTTTATTTACTTTATATGTTCATATTTCGATTATTTAATAGATCCTAAAATTTCCTACGTAAAGCAAACAAGTATGGACTATGACATTCATTTTGGAACAACTTGATTTCATGTATTTTGAAAGAGTTTTGAAGATGTACAACTCGAAGAAATTGAGTTTACAAACATGAAAATCAACATCATTCCAAATTAACAACCTCCATCCACCTGCATTTATATAGTTATATCAAGTAAGCAAATAACTTTATGGTAGAATGCTAAACATAGTAAGAAAAACACGCACACAAATGCAAATTTAGCCGAATCAAGATGTATGAAACATGGATGCAAATAATGGATATGATTAAAAACAAAATATGATCATATTCACAAAGGAAAGCAAGTAAAAGAATGAGATAGAGAGAAGCGGTGCGGGAAATTATTACAAAACTTTGAATAAATAATTACAAACCGAATGAGAGAGGGAGGAAGAAAATATTATAACAAAATAACAAAACCTCACAAACACTCAAATGAAAAGAAAATAAAAGCTTCATGTACCTTGGAGACCATCGGGAATTGGTATGTGCAACACCGGAACACTACTCCATTCAGTCCAAAAGAAGTTAATCGGTCGGCCAGCCAACTGGGCCTAACAAAACATGTCTTGTTGCAACACCGAGAAAAGAATAAACAATGAATATGTAGGTGGCTCAACTAACCACTTCCAGTTAGATTACAACAAAGCTAATATGAAATTAAAGTAAGAAAACAAATATAAGAGAGAAAATGCAAGAAAATGAAAGAGATTGAAAATTCACCTTCTAAAGAAAGAATGAACTTCTTGATTTCCAAACTTCCTTTTGATCACTCTTAAGGTTGAGATTTATGTTATCAATCCTCCATAGGGCTATGCAAAATATA